AAAACCTTGCCACGCAAAACCAACACATGTCTAGTCAACTAGAATTACTGAAAAATAATTAAGATTGTTCCAGCCAGAAAATATATCAGATTAAACTTCCTTTGGGAAAACAACTCACTGCCTGCTCTGAGTGAACACACTGACATTAATAACTCTTAGGTCGTGTTTCTCTGCTGTTTCTGTGTACTGGGGAGAAGAACAGAGAGCCAGGTGCAGCTACCTACTTTATTCTTTCCCTTCCCCTTTTATATTCTCTTCATGGATGTATTAAGTCAGTGGTTGAAATAGCTAGATATACAGTGTTATGCCAGGCTGGCCCTTCTAAATTACAGACAGATTGCTGTCCTAGAGGGATTTCTGAATTTTCATTCCAACATTTCTAGTTTTCAGCTTTGGCCACTGGATAAGGAAATATGTCTTGTGCAATGAAGCTGAAGAGAAATTAAATTTTTCTGAAATTAGGGTTATCTTGTGTCTGTGGTAGTTACTTAGGCAGAAAGAATTCTTCAGGGTATCTTCAAAGCTTCAGTGCAGTGTGGCTTAGATGTCAATGCTTGCAATGAAAATCTATCACATTAGGGAATGCTCACCTCCTGCCTGCATTATTCCCAGTAGTTTTGTGAGGAGTTATCTTGCAGAGTGGTGTAGGATTTTAATACAATAATCTGTACATTAGCAGGAGTATGTCATGCCGGGTCTAAACCATCCTGACCAAAAGAGGAGCCACAAATCCCAGGGCATTAAGATTCAGTAAACTTCAAAATGATGTAAAAGTAATATATTGAATTAGCTTAGATAGCTAGTGTATTTTTTTGAAGACTTATTTCGTTCTCAGTGTGGACTTCAAACCCCAATACAACTGACTCCACACCTTGAAGAATATGCTGTAACATTGTAAGGAAAACTTGTAAAACTAGACCAAGTGTATAAGTCAGGGGTTTTTTGAGGTGGGGAGAGGCAATCAGGTTTGGCAGGCTGGGAGTCAAGGCTGGAGTATGCAGAGTCTCTCAAACATGAGCTTCCAAAGGCCTTTGGAGAGAGCCAGGAGAGCTGTGCTGGGTTTCATTGCTTTGAGCACACTTCAAGATGAGGTGTCGTTGAATGTTGCTGGCTTTGTAAGGATACTGGATTAGTAGTGATTTAGGCTGGTTTACCCTACTTCTTATTTCCTGACCAACTGGATTTTAGTTTCAAACAATTTTGGCATTCACTGATGATTCATAATTCATACAACTATGAATTTCGGTAGTAATTTTCAGTGTTTTCCACCTGGTTTCTGGAACAATGACCAGAAATGGCTGCTCTGCAACAACATTTTTTTGGTTTGAGGTTGTCAAGAATACCTTTTTCTAAGCCAGAAAATTACCATCCCACATTTGAGTTGAAAGCTGCCACTTTTAGTGGACAGACAGAACCCATATTTTTTGTCCTCTGGATGGGAGTACTAAAAGCAAGATGTGGAGTTCTTTAAGGCAAAATATATTTTCATTAGTGAAGACCTACTGTTTGCCTTATGTAATTTTCTTCAGTTTTGTACATTGATTTTGTCTGTTAGCGTAAGAGTCCTAAATGATTCAACCCCTCTGATCTCTCCCCTTGCTCAATGTCTGGGAAGATGGGCTAGAGTGATAGATAAAACCAACTGGGAAAGGTGGCCCTTGTTTCATCAAGAAATTGTGAGGGCTATATGGAAAGTGATGGAAGTGTGCTTCATAGCCATTATCTATTAAAAAACCCTAAGTGTATGTGTCCTCAGAATAAGGCTGATTATTCTGGGCTCCTACCACTGGGAAACAGTCATTTTTCTACCTGTGGATATTCTGTTCTTTCCACGACTAACAATTCTCTTAGGCACATCTGCCTGACTTTGTGCGCATGAGCCCATTTAGAGCAGGGGAGGGAGAGCTAATCCCAACTGAATTTCGGTCACCTTTGCCTTCTGGGATGTATAGAATTTCCCTTGAAGTTTGTACAGGGTCTGCGGTTGGCGCAAAACAGACCTGCTGGCTGCTTTGATACTTTTAAGCCTCTGCTCCATCAATTGTGCAGGCTTTTGGTTTATTTCCAAGTTCAGTCCAACATTCTGGTTTTGATCTAGAGACCCTGATGTTATTTTGATCTTTTATCTCGCTGTAACTTTGTTTCATTGGGTTTGTTCCTAGCGGAGAAGTTGGTTAGCAGCAAAATGATTATTTCAGGCTAAAGGTTGTGGTGAGCACAGGAGAAGATTTTTAGATTCTGGGTCACCTGGATGGTCTGGCAGATCTGGAACTTCATTTCAGGGAATACTACAGTATCTTTCTTGCCTGAAGCCAAGTGCTGAAGCTGTGACCGTTTTAGACACGTGGATGCTAAAAGATGCTGGAGTGAAGGTTTCTGTTTAATAGCAGAGGGGGGAAGAATATAGGATTTGATGATCTTTGTGTGGGTTCTCAGAAGAACAAATCTTTTAGCTCATGGACAGCAGGAAAAATGCAAACCGCAGTGTCCAGGGCAGTTCAGTCAGTTGGTAATTAAATGATAAAAATTTCACAGGTAAGTATTTATTTTTGCATAGATGGTGGCATGAGAGGGATACAAAATGTGCCTCCATTTCCTCAAGGAGTTATTTCCAGATTGCTTTTATACTTTTTATATATAGGTTTATATATCTTTATATATGAATATACATATATTTGTGGGGGAACTTGTGCTTACAGGTAATTTTAAGGGTGAAAGCTAGTACCGTTAACTCTTTTCTGAGGTAGATGAACGTATTAGGTTTTATTCTGTGTGTACATACAATCAAGGCAAATCTGCATTTTTGAAAAGCAGCAGATTCTGAATCCTAAATGAAAGTCATGCTTTACATTCTGTGGTGTAAAGGTTTTATTTGGCTTCCTGTGGGAATGAAAGTTTATTTGTTTGTTCCTTGTCATCATTTTCATGTACTAAGTGGCCTTTGTTTCCATGAAAGAGAAGATTGCATGTGGTGGTGTCACCTAACCCAGCTTCTGATACCTAATTTTTAATTAAGTTCCCAGCTAAATATATGCTTTGAGGGTCATTAAGGTCTATAAGGATGACAAGAAGGCAGCACAGTTCCAAGATAGTAAAGTCATGTAGTGCTACTAAAGATGAACGTATGAACAACCTCCTTTCTGAGGTAATATGGCTTTTCTTGATTAGTTTTTTTTTACTTATAAAAATATAAAGTTAAAAAAAAATATGAATTCATACACTTTCTTCTCTGAGTTGCCATGTATGCACATAGAAACACAGCACCTGCGCTTGGCAATTCCTCTGATTCTGCTCTCTCTTCACTTCTGCATTTTCTTTTTCCTGTTGTTCCTGCCCCTCAGATCTCGGAAATGTTTGCATCAAGGTATTATTCCTAGGCAGGAGTTTCAAGGGTATGATACTGCTATTGTTAGTGCCGTGCTGGAACAGAAATGCCAAGCTGGGAAAGAAGCACAGTAAGGCCTTGATTGAACTCCCATCGGTCTTCCATTGAAGATTCTCATTATCTTGTACAGACTTTTGTTCATCTTGCGCTGTATTGTAGCCTTAGTGACTGCAGGGTAGAAAGTCAGCTGCTTCAGTTTATTGTGTGGCGTGTAGATTATTGGATCAAAAATGTCACATTTATGCATTTGCTATTCAGAAATTAAACACCTTTATCAATATGAGGTTTTCATGAGTGAAATAATGAGATATAATAAAAACAAGAACAAGGGTCCTTGTTTCCAGTCAGATAAAATGGTGAAAATTCATTGGTTTTATCCTAAAGGATGAAACAGTCTTGAAACCACAATTTTTCTTTATGTGTGTCACTGTGTATGAAGCAGTAGTTCCATTAATATGGACAGCTTTACTCAGGTATGCGCTCACTCAGGGGTTGGTTTTTTTAATAATCAAGAGCCTTTATGTATATCTTGTATTAAGCTCTGTCATGCTTATGCGTACAAACACTGGCTGAAGTTACAGCCCGGTAAAAAAACACTATTGATAAGTGCCACAGCTGGAGAGAAAGAGAGAGGGCACATCTCTTTATGAAGACACTTAAATGCATGCCTATATATGAATACATCTTAAAACCTGAAGATTAATATGCAATAATCGATGGAGCCTGTGTGCGCGGTGAGGTACCTCCGAGAGCCGGGGGAGCCGTGCCCCCTGCCGGCATCGCCTGCCCCTGCTGCAGGGGTACCCGGATGGGGCAAGACAAAGGCTGATTGATGAAAAATGAACTTGCTTTTTTGCAAACTTGCCAAAAGATTGAGCTCTGAGAAACGAGTCAAAGTGTCAGATGTAGCCAAAGTTTCCAGATAAGAACACGACGTTCCTAAAACTTGGTTTGAAGCTTTTTAAAGTAATTGGGAGTTCTTCCGGCAACTTTCAGTGTACTTTGGAGACTTCAAGGAATTTAAGACTAGATATAAATCCAGAAACCTTGTTTCTCCCAAGAATATTAAATTTTTTATCTTTGGTTGGTTGCTGTATATAGGCAAAAAATGTTTTTAAGACGCTATAGGGTATATAACAAAAATAGTCTTATTTTATAGTACAGACATTAGATTGGCAAAATGGCAGTAAACTATTCTTTATCCATTTGATCAGATTTTATACAATTATATGTATTTTTTATACAATTATGTCTATTTTTGTCATCATTAATACATGTTATTCTTCCCAGAAATCCATCAATAAAACTACCTCTTCTGTTTTCATTTTTCTGTTCTTCTGTGTACTTACATTCCAGCCACAGTTTTTAATCTGTCGAATTTCATCACTTAGATGGGTGCAGTCGTCTTCATTAATATTCTTAATAAACTTAATTTATTTTTATGTAGTTTATTTAAAATTGAGTATGTTTTTAATATTTTTTCCTTTTTTTCAAATTTTAGGTGGAGAACAGACCAAAGTATTATGGAAGAGAGTAAGTATTCTCCCCTTTTAGGTATCTGTTGGGTATATCCAAAAGCTGTTCTTCTAGAACTTAAAATAAAAAAAATGGAGGTCTGATAACATATTTTATTTTACCTTTCACTTCAACTGGGAGCTAAATATGTTGATGGCCTAGTAATTTAGTTATGTTACAGTCTAGTACTGCTGCTCGCAGTCCATGGACTGTGCTGCAGTGTGATCCTGCATGTTTATTTTGCTTTTCTCACGACAGTTTGGGGAAAAAATATTGCCTGAAGTATTTTTTCCTTTTATTTTGATTGTGGCTTTAACCTCCCAGTGGTCCTGCAATGGCCTGGGGAGGAGAGAAGCAGCTTGCCTCTCTCGCTGCCTTTTTGTATATGTTCCTATACTTTGAGCACCCTACGTGGTTGTGGAAGCAAGCGCGTATGCTACTGCATGGGTAAACGCTGTTCTCCTTGCTAAACTTAGGAGGTCTGAAATACCCAGAGAAGAGGTGTTGTGAGGAAAATGACGGACCACTGGAGTATAATTCCTTTGTGCTCAGCAGTCGTCTTGCCAATAAATCACTTGAAAGGGGCTGGGTCTTGCCCTGGCATGGAGATTTGGCCAGGTGAAGGAAAAGTCATGGCAGCAGCCACCCAGATCGGGCATTTGGTCTTTACTGGAGTAATCTGCCAAGACCCTAGCCCTTATCGCTAGCTAAATTACTTAGGTCCCATGTTCTATTTTTTCTTGCATCCCAGACACATCATCTGTGTTTAATGATCCTTTTCTACCATCAAAAAACCTCAAGAGCCGGTAACTTTGCCCCTAATTACTGAAGTTTCATTTTTAAAGCGTTATCTTTGACAACAGGGAATTCGGATCTAGCCACTAGAGTACAACAGAGCTAAAGACAGTACCTACCTGAGCAACCCATCACGCTTCCTACAGCAGGACTTGTAAAACCATTACAGCAGCCTTTAGTCCAGGAACCTGCCTGGCTGTTGACATGCCCTGGGTTTGTGGAGCAGCAGGGCTGGCAGGAACTGTGAGAAGTCACCTCGGTGAACCGTCCCAGGCAAGAGCACATTAGCTGTTATCATCTGGAAAGATTTCAGGCCCACTGGGGACGGTCCTATAAAAGCGCTTGACTCAGTGCTCAGTAGTGCTTGGAAAGAGAATCAGGGATTTCTAGGGAAAGAAACAGAAAATACATAATGATATTACTATATAAATCTATAATGTAGCTGCATTTTAAATAGTGCATGTAATTCTCGTCCCTCTTTACCCCTTCCTCCTCCCTCCATTTTGGAAAGGCTGTAGAAGAAATGGAAAGTGCAGCAAAGTACAGCAGTGGAGCGAAGGGATGCAGCTCCAACCATATGAGGAAAATGAACAGGTCTTCTTCAGTGGGTGTCCAAGAGAGGGACATGCACAGTGTCCCTCTCAAGTTCATTGCCACAGGGTACTGCGGAGGCCAGAAGCATAAAGATATGAAAGGGTTTACAAGTGAGATTCTCAGATTCATGAAGGGTAAAGTCACAGCTGGTGGGACACAACTTCTGGCTAAACCAGTGATGGATGGACAGGGATGTGAAGTGAAAGAAATATGTCACCGCTCCCTGTACTCTTTCCGTAAGCATTTATTGTCAGCTGCTGTCAGAGGCAGGCGTCTGAGCTCAGGGGATCTTGTACTGTGTACAAGCTGGTTTTATGACCTTATAAAAATGTACCAAAAACATCCATGAGAAAGCTTGGATTACCCAGTCCATATGACCCATGGTTAAAGAAATTTCACAAGTGCCCCAAGTCTCCTGTCCCAGCAGTTTCTTAAATTCATCACCAGAAGAGCTTTTTTCCTAGTATCTAACCTAAAGCCTGCTATATTTTATAATGAGCTTCTGGTGGCAAATGACCTATGCTCATTATTTTTAACTAGAGTTATGAATTGCCGTGAGTTTACTGGTAAAGATAGGCTTAAATTATGTCATCTAGGGGATGCTCATTTTAATTTGGATGTGGCAGTAAATGAGTGTGTCCCCACCAGTACAGACAGAAAGTGTGAATTAATTTACATAATTCTGAATAGAAAGTCACTCTGGAAAGATCACCTAAACCTACTATTTCAAACATGTATTAGTTGTGAAAAGACAACGTAAAGAGAATGGAACAACAATTGTATTTACATCCAATGTGGTTTTCTTATCTTTCACTACTGAGCCAGAGGCAGTGTTAGAAATGTGCCACTTCATGTGTGTTGTCAGAAAAGAGAAAATGCTGAAGGCCAGTACATTTTAGTCCCTTTTTTCAGACAGCAGCAAAAAATACAAACTTTCAAAATCTCTGAGGAGACCCTCAGACACTTCCCAGCTAGCAAAATGTGTGTAGGGCTGTAAAGACTGCATTTGTACTTGTGGAGAGATCACTGCTAAATATTGATTATTGTAAGGTTAATTGTGTATCCTAGGGCCTCCTTTTTTCTTAAAATAGCAATGACAAAAGAATCAGGGAAGTATTGCTTTTTTCCAAACTGAATGAGGAACTCACTGAAATACAGAGAACAGTATTTTTGTCAAGGCTACTCTGAATCTTCTTCAATATATGCAGAACAGAAATTAGGTAATTGTTGCTATTTTTTGTCTCAGTTTCCCTTACAAATTTGAGGAAGCAATGTTAATGTAAAAATAAAGTAAACATAATAAGAATGACCTCTCATTTTAATTTAAAGTCATCTCCATTTAAAAAAAAAATAGTACCTTTGTGCCTGGTTTTCAATTCTGTTGTAAGGCCTCTAGAAAGGAAACAAGGAAGAGGGGCGCAAACTGGTAGAGGGGAAAAGTTGTGAAAAGATGGGGCATTTACAGGAAAAAAATCTTTGGGTGCAGTTGAAGTGACTTACACTGACTGAAGCTGCATATACAGTGTAATTTTTGTTTTGCCTCCGTGTGGGACTGGCCCAGGCTGGAAGACTGCCCTGCCACTTTTAGATGCTGTCCTGATGGCTTAGACCACGATGCTTTGCAGTGCAGAAGTTTTCAAATGCTTTCTGAGGTGGAGGGGAAGGTGTTTCTGGTTGGATTGTTCTGAAGTCACTGAAATGTCTTCCCTTAGGTTTCACGGGATCATTTCTCGGGAGCAAGCAGATGAAATACTTGCTGGCGTAGAAGGAGCGTATATTCTTAGAGAAAGCCAGCGGCAACCTGGCTGCTATACTCTTGCTCTCAGGTAAATGCTGTTTTAATAGAGGCTTATTGTGCAAATGTAAATGTGTTTAATGGAGGAGATTATGTCTTTTGAGTGAAGTCTATGTCCTCCGTTACTTAATCCACTTCACAGTGTCAGATTGATTTTACACCCTCTTGTCAGCAGGTTGACCATCACAGCACTACAGCCATTCAGTCAGTCCTTTAGCACTTGGCTAGGAAGTCCCTTTTCAGAAGCAGACTGTGCCTGTTTTCAAAATTTTTGCTACCTAGAGTACACGTTACAACCTTGAGTGTTGTAAAGGTGGAGTTTCTCCTTGAAAACTGTGTAAGAGATGTAAGGGAGTACAGGACTGGGGAGTTGGCCACGTTGTCCTCTGAGCTCAGTGATGTGTTTTACACAAATATCAGCAACCGTGGGCAATAAATAACCCTGGATAAACCTGGAAAATCATGAAGTCCAGTGGCTGACCAGCTGTCAAAGGCAGCATACTGGACTTTCAGTTTCTTCTGGAATTCAAGCTTGGCATGAAGCACAGGATGCTGCTGCTCAAAGAAGTGAGAGCCCAAGCAATAGCCTCACTGTCCCTCACGGGTGCCTCTCCTTGAAAATACGTCCGCCCTTGGCTTAGCTGTGGCATTCAAAACCTGCCCACCCAACAGTCTTAAAGCTGCTGTGGGTTAGTGGCAAGAGGACAAGATATTCTGCCAGGTTTTGATAAAACAAACTCCTTGGCAATATTTTACAATGTTTATAGCATTATTACTCCTGTGGGATGTAGACAAAATAAAAGTCTGCATTTTTACCCTTCTGCTGGTAAGCCAGAAGAAAAAATCCTTTAAGGAGTTATCCCAAGTAGCTGTGATACAGTGCTGAAATCATCCTCAGAATTCATACTGATGTGCAGATGGTAGAGCTGGAAAAGCTGGTGAGTCATGCCAACTAAAAAGTGGTATAAATTAAAAACTTTTGTCAGCTGAAAAAGAACAAATGTAATTTTTTAGGGTTTTGGAGAGAGATTTCAAAATAAAGAATAAAAAGAACTACCACAGGATGGGGATTATGGCAAAGTGCCTGTTGTTTTGACACAACAGCATGATTTCTAAATCCATCCGGATAATTATTTGTAGAATCAAAACCTGAATTTGATTATAAATTGGGAATTCAGATGAAAAATGTAGGTGAAAAAATGAGAGGCTTAAACAGTTGGGTTTGAATGCCCAACAAGCTATGCAGACATGCGCGTTTGATGCAATATAGGACCATTTAACCCAACGTCGTATCTTTGAATCCTTTAATCAAGAATGGGATTCCAACCTCGGTGTTATAAACTGAATGTCCTACTACAGCACTTTGCTTTTTAAAACACTTACAAACCCCCATAGATTACACCTGCCATAAATAGGGCCACAGTTACCCACAGAACTTTGGTTAGGCCTCTGAATTAGGAGCTCAGTCTCCCTGGCTTCCTGCCAGAGGGTGATTCAGATCCTTAGGGTTTTAATTACTCGCTGAGATGCCCATCTCTCTTCATTGACTCTAGATATGTCCATGGTGGTTAAGCATCTGCTTTCTGCACCTCAACAATGTTTTGGGATGGAAGAACCCTTAACACAATTATGCATCCCGATAGAAGGTCCTGTCAATGCAAACATGCCTTTTGCGATTGCTGCGGTAGTGCCATTAGGATTTAGATTAAACCCTGTGAACACAGCTTGTTACAGAGAATTGGCCTCAGTTCTGTAGCCCCCTCCATGTGATGGAGTCACGTTTGGGCTTGGGTCTGCTTATCCACAGCGATCTAGTTGCAGCTGTGTGCGTGTTCCAGATGTAACCCAGATATGTAGACTCGTCAGCGAAATTACCTCCTGAGTGTTTTGCCAGTATGAATTCTTTTTCTCACTCTTCCCTCTCTTCTCTCCCTCCTTTTTTCTCTGGTATTTGCAGATTTGGTAATCAGACCTTAAACTACAGGTTGTTCTATGATGGGAAGCACTTCGTTGGGGAGAAAAGATTCGAATCAATCCACGATCTGGTTACAGATGGCTTGATAACATTGTATATAGAAACAAAGGCTTCTGAGTATATTTCCAAAATGACAACAAACCCCATCTATGAGCACATTGGATACGCCACTTTGCTGAGAGAAAAAGTGTCCCGGAGGCTGAGCAGAACAAAAAATGAATCAAGAAAAGCAAGTGTAACGAGTGAAGAAAATACTCCAGTTGAAAAGGTAAGTATTCAGTTTAAAATTTTTGCAATCAATACCAGTCTTTCTATCAAATCTAAGAGAAAAAGTGTTTCGTCTAGAGACCATTTTCTATTTTTCTGTACTTCACTAAGTATTACTATCCCACTGAAAAGTTTATATCTTGTTAATGTGATCTTGGCTACAAACTAATGTTTGACTGGAGCTTATGATGAAAGCTTTCTAAGTACTGAATGCAAATGTTTTCACTGTGTAAATATATATACACACACACACACACACTGGCTAACTAAGGAACTGCATCTAAAATTGTTCACAAGTTATGTTTCTTTGTCCATGTATACTCAAGCATATTCCACAGTAGGATTATGAAACTGGTTCCCACTGATCCTTCACCACAGCTCAAGTTTGTTATCTTTCCGTTCACAGTGCAAAGCTCCTCTTTTCTGCCGGGTCTTTGGTGGATGGGTCTCAATTTGGGATATTGTGTGTTTTCTTCCCTTTCTTCTCGTGGGTCTGAAATTGGGATATTGCGTGTTTGCCTCCCTTTCTTCTCGTTCTTTTCATTTGAAGTGGGCTTTCCTTGATCTCCTCTCTGGCACCTGTGTCCCATAGTATTGTATGGACAAGGACTTATTTACATGATGATAAACTGAGAATCTCATGCAGTTAGCAGCCATCTGAAGATGTAAAATTAGAAATTCTTTTACATATGAGAAGCAGTCTTGTAAGCACTGACATGTGGATATTTTCATTTCCCAGGTGGTAAGGCAGTAAGAACTGTCAAACAAAACTTTTTTTTGAGTCCAATGTTTGTGCTGAATTGACTTACTGACATTTGTAAGCGTACTTCTGCAGTGTGACTGATGATTTTAGTGTTCAGTGTGCTGGCTAGCTAGTTGGGAACTAGGGCCGGTTTGTATTTGGGAAGCAGGGAGTGAATTTGTTGTCATGTAGTAATATTCAGCGTGAAAAGAAATTGCTTTTTTTTTGTGCATCCTCATCATGCTAGGACATTTCTGGCATAGTTATTATCTGTTAGGTTCACATATCTGCATTGGCTGGTTATATACTGATTTGGATTTCTCAGTAGTAATAATTGCTCAAGTAACTGACCTGACATGCAAACCTATTCATCCTCTATAACAAATTAATTCCATTTACAATGACATTTTTTAGGGAAGGCATATTGTCACAGGGAAGTCCTTTGGAGAACAGCACAGCAACAAGTCTTCCATTCAAGTTTTATTTCAAAATGAATCCACTGATGACAATGGGGTTTGGATTCAATTGTATGGTATTGTAATATGCAAGAGGAGTGGATGCCATAGAGATGGGTTTTATGCTCATTCAGTTGATTCCTGTGGTTGGACACTGGGTGGCTGTGAATGCTGTAACAGGCATAAGAAAGTGAATTTTGACTTTATTTGAGCCATCATGAGAACTAAACATAGTGCAGTGTGGCAGATTTTTTTGTGTAAATGTGTCAGACTAGTCAAGGAAATAACGGAGAATGGTCCAGAGGATGTTCTGGGAAAATTTCTTTTATATTGAGAAAATACGGGACCATCATTGGGATGACTGTAAATATTATTACATGACTGTAGTGTAATAAAGCAATTGTGACAGTTAAAAATCATGCTATATTCTCTAGAAAATCAGAATATTTTTTGCAGAACGAAAAACACAATTTCAGAATTGTGTTCAGTTTTACTTACCGTTCTTGCAGTTAAGAAGCAATAGTCTTTTCTATCTCAGAGGGCTCTCAAAGACTTCAGGGGGGTTTGTTCTAGTACCATACATTTCCTAACAGTGTGTTTTCTGTTGTGCTCGGGATTAGATGTCATTTTTCAGGCTGGGCAGTTTTGAATAAGTGCTGTAAAAACTCTTTTAGACCAACAGAAGGCAAACTGTTGCTGAAGGGGCCCCTGCCCTCTCTCCTTCACCACCGCCTTTTTGCTGACAGACGCTTTTATGCAGCTACACAGTAGGTGACTCTAGAAAACAGCTCCAGATTAAAACTAATTCAGCCAGAAGAAAAAGCACGTGACTTTTTCAGCCGGACCCACTACCTGATCCACCTCATATGGGTGGAAATGCAGCACAAAGGAGAGGGCAAGACTTTCTTCTGATGACAGCTTAAAAAATGATGATATCAGCTTAAAGTGAGTGGAGACCTGCATCCTTAGTTCCAGGTACCTGTGCCTGAAAATGTTTGGACTTAATGTAACTTGCTGTCGACAGTGAAAATACACCTCTGGACCTCATTTGAGATTGGATTAGGTCATCTTTTCTATTGCAGCTGAATGAAATTAAAGACTTTAGAGTATTACTTACCTCCAAGGTGGTTCATGATGCGAAAGGCAGTACTGTGGGTCCTTACCCTGCAAGGATTGGTGCTCATCTGTATATCCCTACATGCAGGCAGTAGCAGCCTGCAAGACTGGGCTGCATGGCTGCGTTGTGTAAAAATAACTGGCTTCAGCTAAGCCATTACGTTGTTGGCAAACCTCTCTGCCTTCCTCCCACTGAGGGGAAGCAGCAGAAGGAGGAATAGCAGCTGTTTCTGACATATTTTTCTTGCCAGAAGGAGTAGGAGCAGTCATAGCTACAAGAGGAGCAGGTCTAAATAGGCAAGGTGCTCACAGGCTGAAGACCTGCTGCAGCAGCTGAAGCCTCGCTGTTGATGTTTAGGACCCCTAACAGGCTTCTCTACTGGTACCGGTAGTTTTCCATCATCTCATGCAGATCCATGTGAAAAAAGATTATGTCAACTAAATTACTAGCAACTGAAAGAAATTCACAGAAGTCTGTATGGTGAAGCCTACCATGGTTGCTTTTGCTTCATGTGTTCCTTGGGGAAGCTCATGAGAAGTTTGGACAGCAGGGGAAGACTCAGGGGCCATCATTCCCATTTCTCCCTCACAGTAACCTCAGATAAAGCATGGACTGGACTTTGGAATAAACTGGTGAAATACTGAGCATTTGTCAGTAATAGCATATAGGGACAGAGGAGGATAAAGGGAATTTAATGTTTGTTTTTATGTAAACTTTAGAAGTCCTCTAAAAGATAAAAATAATAGGGGGAAGTGGTAGTTCAGTGAGAGTTGTATCAGATGTTTTGCTTGAGGCTGTCATGTGTTGTACAGCATTTTAGACAAAGGCCATGGTTTGCCCACAAATCGAAACCTTCACCCACTTCAATTACTCCAATAAATTTCAGACTGCTAGAAATAAGTGAATGAATATTCAGCATGACGTTTTCCTGCAAAGTAAATTCTTTGCTGTGTGTGTGAAAAATCATTGAGTTTCTTGTAAGGTGTGTTTTCTCTGGCCAATTGAACAGGTAGAATGTCAACTTTTTTTTAATAATTGAGCTGGTTTATTTGAAAGTACTGCCTGGAGCATTTTGAATGTTTCAGAAATGACGGAGTGTGGAGGGGGAAAGCCGTACATGCAGGACAGAAACTTCCATTATTTCTCAAGAGGCATGTGAGGATTCAGCGCTCTAAGGTTAAGCATCAGTACTCCTCTTACAGATTAGGCTTTTTACAAGTGAGATTTTCTTTTCTACTGAAACCAATTCCAGAGTGTGAAAGTGCAGCTGAAGGCATTCGTCTCCTTAGCGGCTTTGTTAACACCATCTGGGGAGTCCGCTCGTTCTGTCACCTCCCACGTCGACAGCGGAGATTATTCAATGTCTCAGTCACTCCAGCACCGCGGCTCCCCGTGGGGCAGGTTGGTGGAAGGGGGCTGCCGAGGCACGGGCTGGCGGGAAGAGCCAGCGTTCGGATGAAATGGCTGGGTATTGCCTGGGGTACCTGTCTGTTCCCATAATGATAATTTCTTCAAGGTTGTAATTAGTGGAGTCATGCCCATTCCAGAAGGGGGGGGGGTGTGATACATGGGGCTGGATTAAGCTGTTGTTGTTCGTGCCTTTTTATCTAACATTTTTTCTAACAAGCCTAAGAAAACATTTATGCCTTAAGATACTTAATGCCAACATTTTATCCAAAAGTTACTTCTGTCTAGCTTTAAAGAGGTGCTAGATTTGTAGATAAAGATTCCAAATTTTAGTCTATATAGTTTAACAGATCTTTAATTTGAAAGGAGCCACAAGGATTTTTAGGAATGAAGTGTTGTGAGAGAACAGCATGCTGCAAATACTTCCTTAGCAGTGCAGGCAATTATCATTTTAATGGGATCCAGCTTCAGAAAGGATTTTGGACAGAGAAATAGGTTTTTTGTGCAAAGAACGTTTGAAGAGTTTATGTTGTCTGTTTCCGGTCGTGATTTAAGCTTGGGCAAGTTGTGATCACCTGCTTTGTGCTCTGTTTATGGGATGCTGTACTTGGGGCAAATGAACGTGTACTAGAAGATATAGGGCAGATAAGTACCTGGTACTGGTATGTACTGTAATTAATTATCAGTAATTCACATTACTGGTGAATGTAGGAGAAATGTAACTTGCTGTAAGCAATTAAACTTCACATGTAGGAGAGAGAAAATTGCAGTAGTCTGTCAGTAAAATATGTAGTTCTGAAACGTTTATTGCTAACACATACCATGTTATCCTGTAACTGCTGCCTTTACTGCGTCAGTGGTCCTTGTGTCCCAGGCTAGGACAAAAAAATTCTTCATTTCCAATCCTGCATCAGCAAGTGTAATTTGGGAAAATATATTCGAAGAATTGAAACATTGTAAGTACATGCAAGCTGGAGTTTTGTCCATGCTTTAAGGAGGTAAAAGCTGTTACAGTTGCTGATGAGAAACCATCCTGGTTCCTTGCTCTTGCACTTTCATTCCCACTGCTGTGACCTGCCCCGTGCACTGCCGGAGCCACCCCGTGCCTTGGGTGACACAGCCCTGGACGCTGTGATACAGTGCCCTGGGTCAGAGAAAGGCTGTGCCCCACACCTTGGTTTTTTGCTATGCTGGCCTTACGCAGGAGCAGTTCCTGGGTTTGGGTTGCCTTACAGCTTCTCAAGTATTCCTGCTAGCATGGGGGATGCGATGAGAATGGC